CGGCACTCGGGGGGGGGGTGGTTCTGTTCAATATCTTCATCAAAGATTGAGATATCAGCATGCAGAGTACACTTATTAAGTTTGCAGATGATACCAAGCTGGGAGGGGTTGCAACTGCTTTGGAGGATAGACAAAAAGGATCAGGACAAATTGGAGAAATGGTCTGAGATAAACAATATGAAGTTTAATAAGGACAAATGCAAAGTGCTCCACTTAGGAAGGAACAATCAGTTTCACACATAGAGAATGGGAAGCGACTGTCTAGGAAGGAGTACAGCAGAAAGGGATCTAGGGGTTATAGTGGACCACAAGCTAAATATGAGTCAACGGTGTGACGCTGTTGCAAAAAAAGCCAACATGATTCTAGTATGCATTAACAGGAGTGTTGTGAGCAAGACACGAGAAGTAATTCTTCCGCTCTACTCTGCACTGGTTAGGCCTCAGTTGGAGTATTGTGTTCAGTTCTAGGCACCACACTTCAAGAAAGATGTGGAGAAGTTGGAGAAGGTCCAGAGAAGAGCATCAAGCATGATTAAAGGTCTAGAGAACATGACCTATGAAGGAAGACTGAAAGAATTGGAACAAAATATAGGACTATGTAGCACTTTAAAGACTAACAAGATGTTTTATTAGATGATAAGCTTTCGTGGGCTTTTCGTGGAAGAAAATAGTCACAACCATATATACCAAAGGATACAATTTTAAAAATGAACACATATGAAAAGGACAAATCAAATTTCAGAACAGAAGGGGGATGTGAGGAGGGGGGGGAGAAAGGGAAATGTCTGTTCAAATTTCAGAACAGAAGGGGGATGTGAGGAGGGGGGGGAGAAAGGTAAATGTCTGTGAGCTAATGGTATTAGAGGTGGGGAAAGGTAAATGTCTGTGAGCTAATGGTTTTAGAAGTGATAATTGGGGAAGCTATCTTTGTAATGGGTAAGATAGCTAGGGTCTTTGTAAGAATCCTGAATCACTCTCCATCCTGTGCATAGAATGAGGCAGAGGAACAAAATACAGTAAAACTTTGATAGTCTGGCATCCAGTTGTTCGGCACTCCCGTTACTCCGGCATCAAAATGTCAAGCACTCCTGTCCAGCTGATTAAAAAGCCTGCTGCTCAGCACACGGGACCACGCATAAGGCTGGGTGGAGGGGAGAGTGGGATCGTGTTACAGTATGGAGAAGAGCGTTTTGCTTCAGTGAAGGGGAAAAGAGAGGGGAGGAGATCGGGTTACAGCGCGGAGAAGGAGAAGCGAAGAGGAAAGGGGAAGGGAGAGGGAGGGAGATTGTGTCCGGGCCAGCTGTTAAGCCGTGCAGCTGTACCAGGACCTCCCGAGACATCGGCATATCTGATAATACCGCACCACCTAGGTCCCAAAGGTGCTGGATTATCAGAAGTCTACTGTAGTGCACGATCGTTAAATTAAGGATAATATCATAATGCATATGCATAAGGAGACCAAAACAGGTTGCATAAGCAATCTTAATTTTGGCATGTTTTAGTTTTGATTACTTGACTTCGCAATGTTAACTTCAGTGTTTAATTAAACAGAATGATATAAAACATGTCAGCAGGGAAAGACTGAGTAGGAGTCAGGAGGTTGTATTACCCCTCTGGTATTGGCGCAACTGCTACTCGATTCTACGCTTTAAGAAGGATATTGAAAAATTGGAGAGGATTCAGAGAAGAGCTAAAAGAATGATTTATGGTCTGGAAAGTCTGCAACACAGTGAGAAAGAAAATAGTTCAATCTATTTTTCTTGCTAAAGATGGTGTCAAGAGAAGATCTGATCACAGTTTACATGTACAGGGAAGATATTTAATACCAGAGGGTTTTTTAAGCAAGGAAATAAGGCAGAACAGGATCCACTAACAAAATGAAAATTTGGAAGTGAGCGTATTTAACTACTCTTTACAGTTTACAAAACAATGTGATAAGCTATCCATCAGGTAGAAGAATGTAATTCAAGACTGGATGTCTTTCCAAAAATCTCTTGTTCGTCCATAAATTATTGGGCTTGTTGCAAGGATTACAGAGTGAAAATTCCATTACCTATGTTACATCAGATATCCAACAAGGTCAGTGATTTTCAAAATATGGGTTGTGACCCAGAACTGGGTTACAGAAGGTTAAGCACTAGGTCGCTTTGCTCTATGGTGACTAGGTGACTAACAGGTGTGCTAAGGCAGGTTTCCTGCCTACCCTGGCACATGGACAGTATCATGCTCCAGGAATAGTCAGCAGCAAGTCTGGCTCCTGCGCGGGGGGAGGTTGCAGTTCTGCAAACTGCTCCCACCCCAAGCATCAGTTCTACACTTCCTGGCCAATGGAAGCTGGGGAAGGATGGTGCCTGAGTTGAGAGCTCTGCGCACTTCTGCTCAGGAGTTGGACCTGCGGCTGGCTGCTTCTGAGGTGAACTTAAGAACTGCCATACTGGGTCAGACCAAAGGTCCATCTAGCTCAGTATCCTATCTGCCCACAGTGGCCAATGCAGCAAGGCCCACTATGCCAGGACAGGTAGGAAGGCTGCCTTAGCATGCACACTGCACTGCTGACCAGGGGGCAGCCAGAGGCAAGCCCAGGCCCCAACTGTGCACCCCAACATCCCTACCCCAGCAATGAGTCTCACCCCCAAACTCAGAGCTCTCTCCTGCATCTCAAATCCATCATCCCCAACCCCACGGCAGAGCCCACATTCTAGTCAAAAGGCATAATTATGCTGGGTCGCAGGTATCAACAATTTTCTTCAACTGGGTCATCAGAAAAAACATTTGAAAATCACTGAACTAGATGAACATAATTGTCCTGCTTGAGCTTAAAAATCCATGAAAACTGCAGGTTTTGAGAAGTTATAAATCCAGGGATTTGGGGTCTGTGCACTTATTGCACACTGAAGGATCTCACATCTGAAAATTATCCAAAAGTCTGTGCGATCTCTTAACAACAGTGCTGCACACTACAGAATCCATGCTCCAAGAGTCCCAAAATGCATTAGTACCACCCCTATTGCATGTACTGAAGTGAAGCAATAACGAGAGATGCAATGATTCATTGCACACAATCAGTATGTCTGCAAAGGTTTCCTTGGTTTGTGGCGACATCCAGCTTGAGATTGCCAAACTATTTTGCTTTAGTATAGATAGACCTCGAAGTTTCAAAATATGAAACTGCCTGAAACTGCTTCACTGATGCCAGCACTACTAGCTACCATAATCACACAACAGATCATGCTAGGCTACAACCATTCTGCAGAGACCTGTTTAATATCACTCACCTGTGCTTTTTCCCTCTTGGCTCGGATCAATGTGTCCTGGTAGTGCTGCGCTACCTTTGGGGATACCCCCTCCAGTTTTGCTGCAGGGATCTGTAAGGCTTGAAGGGTCTTTCTGGTGTCTCCTTCGTCCAGAGCTTCATTAATAAGACCAATTGCTAAAATCCCTGGAAAACAAAGAATACAAAGGACAACTTCTGGTCAGCAGAAGATCACAAAGAAATATGTAACAGAGCTGAATGACTAGAGTCCTTATTAAAGCCGATGTCAGTGAAGAATCGTCATGACATTTTCAACCCAAACTCAGGTTTGGCTGGTGAAGACAGTTATCCTATTTCCTCACATGTGTGGTGCCCAATCGATGCTCTAGATACTGTACAAAAAGCAAAATGCTCAATGGATCAACAAAATCATAATGTGAAAAATAATAAGGATCCTATGGCATCCTCTCGCATCAAATGATCACCATGCTCTTTCTGCGTGCTCTCAACACCCAGGAGCAAAGCCACCTCAAACCAATTCCATCAACTCTTACTAGGGACTGCATACACAGTGATACCACCATCAACAGTGCCACATGCCAAGCAGCTAACAAATCCAATAAAATCCATATGGGTACTTCAACTGTGTGATGGTTTAAAAACCTAAGCACAAAACCAAAAACTTTCTCTATCTCTTTTGCACGTTTAATTTAAAAACAAAACAAAACAGTATTTCAGAAGCTAAATATTTCTATGTTATTAGTCCTCCCTACAGAGGAACCTCCAGGCTAATTTAGGGGGAAAGTCACAAAATGAAAACAAACTTAAAAAACTGGAAAAATTAGCTTTCCACACTTTCTAAAGAAGTTATTGACCATATGAAGTAAGAATGGTTCTTTGAGATATGTCCCCCTATAGGTTCTCTAATGTAGATGTGCTTATGTCTCCATGCTACTGACTGGAGAACTCTGGTAGCAGTGTCCATTAGGCCTGCACATGCACTTACCTGACTCATACTGATCTCAAGATGAGCCAACATGGGTGAGCTGACCCCCCCTCCCCTCCATTCCTTTTCTACCAGAATCATAAGCAAGAAGTCCAATTAGACCCGAGGAGAAGAGACCTCAGGAGGTCGAGTCCAGTCCCCTGCCCGAAGCAGAACCAATCCCAATTAAATCATCCCAGCCAGGGCTTTGTCAAGCCAGGACTTGAAAACCTCTAGGGACGGAGATTTCACCACCTCCCAAGGGAACTCATTCCAGTGCTTCACCACCCTCCTAGTGAAATAGTTTTCCCTAATATCCAGCCTAGGCCCCCTCCACTGTAACTTGAGACCATTGCTCCTTGTTCTGCCATCCGTCACTACCGAGAACAGCCTATGGTGCATAAGAAAAAATTAATGGACACAAACCAGATATCTGAAAAGGCAACACACAGAAACCTGTTGGGAACATTTTAACTTGCCTGGGCACTCATTAATGGATCTCAAAGTCACCATATTTTTTCAGGCTAATTTCACAAGCCAACACTACAAGGAAGCCTTAGAACTTAACTTCATTTACACATTTAATTCCTATAAACGGAGGTATGAATAAAGACACTGGCTGGATAACCCACTACTTTCCACATGCTAATGACATAAAAAGCCAAACAATGGGTACTTAAAAATAGTTAGTACCTTCTCTATCAGCTTCATGTAGCCTGGACACACCAATTCAGTGTTTCTCCACCAATGGTATGAGTACCCTGAGGGGTACTCGAGAGAAGTCGGAGGGGAGGGGGGGACCTCAACACAACTGAAATTTGGAGAAAACTGAATTCTTGTTTTTAAGTTTTACAGCGCTTTATTATTTTTGTACGTTTTACACCCCAAAATTTAATTGCCCACCCGGCTATGATTACATTGTTTAAACAAATGTGTTGCAATGGTAGAAAAAAATTGTGTGTGTCTGAAAACTGTAGGTACCAGGGATACTTATTTTTTTTAAGGGGGTACTTTATAAAAAAGGTTGAGAAACACTGCTCTAATTGACTACTTCCCCTCCCCCCACACCTTTTTTTCCATTCTCTCCCCCTACACCTCCATTCCCTATTTATGTATTTAGGAACTGGACATTTAATAACTCCATTCATCTGAAGAAATGAGCTGTGCCCACGAAAGCTCATGAGACCACTTACGTGTTCTGTCTCGAAGGTGCTGCAAGACTATTAGTTGTTTAGATACTAGCCCTCCCCCTCGCCTCCTTTCTGTTCTGATTTGTCAGTTTTATAATGTGTTCACTTTTTCCCCATTGTATTCCTTTGGTATATATGGCCATGAATTTGATCTGAGAAAGTGGGTCTGGCCAGGAACGCTGCTGCCAAAACCTGCACCCTGGGCGAGTGAGCCTGCACAATCAGTGTGTATGTGTGGGGGCTATCGTCCAGGATAAATGCCACCAGGAGCACAAAGCCAGCAGTTCAAATGGGAGGGCCCATGAGCCCAGATAGGACGAAGTTCAAATTCCAAGGTGGAACTGGGGGGTCTGACCTGGGGAAAAAGCTGCTCCAGACCTTTGAGGAACCTGCCCTTCATGTCATGGAAGAATATGGCGTGCCTCTGGAAGCTGGAAATGGCTGCCATATGCACTATTAGAGAGGAATGCACCAGTCCTTAGTCTTTCAAATGCAACAGGTAATCTAGGATCAAATGGATCGAGGCCTTCATTGGGGAAATGCCATTGGCCACCACCCAACTTGTGAACCTCGCCCACTTACCCATATAGCTTTGCCAAGTCGACAGTTTCCTGCTTTAGAGAAGGATGTGGAGGACACCCTTTGAGCAGACCTGCTCTTCTAGGTTCTGCCACGTGGCAATCGAGCCATGAGGTGCAGAGATTCAAGGTTGGGATGAAGGAGATAGCCATGGTTCTGGGACAGGCGGTTCAGGTGGAGTGGCAGCAGTCACAGGGGGTGCACTGCTCAGTTTGACAGGATTCTGAACTAATGCTGATGGTGCCATGCTGGAGCAATAATGATGTTCATGGCCCTGTCCTTCTTGATTTTTTGTAGGATCTTGCTGATGGGTGGGAATGGGGAAAAAGCGTAAAGCAGATCTCCTGCCCAGGAAAGGAGGAAGGACATGGGCAGTGGCAGTTGTGTCTGGTAATGAACAAGTCCACCCAGGAAATATCGCACCTCCAGAAGACCCAGTGTGCAATCTTCACATGCGGCATACAGTCATGGTGAGAAGAGAAGTCTCTGAGCTCAAGCAGTCCACAAGGCAGTTGAAAGTTCTTGGAAGATAAGCCTCTGGTCGATACTGTGAGCAATACAGAAGTTCCAGTGAGCGAGAGTCTCCTAGCACAGTGCCGCAAGCAGGGTCCTCCATGTCTGTTGATATGAAACATTGAGGCTGCATTGTCCAGGAGAACCCCAATTACCCTGCCTGTGAGCTGGCGGCAGAAGGCCTTGCAGGTGAGATGTACTGCTCATAATTCCCTAATATTCATATGCAGGTCCATCTTGTCCAGGTTCCAACTGCCCTGGGTCCTGGCTTCCCCTAGATGGGTTCTGCAGCCCAGATCTGATGCATCCAGTATTAGCTCAATCGGGGAAGGGTGGCTCTGGAATGGTTCCCCAAAGAGCATATGCTCCAGAATTGTCCACCACCCGAGGGAGAGAAGTATGGGAACTAGGACAGTGAGGACTTTGTCCAGACAGTCTTTGGTCTGCAAGAAGACAGACGTCAGCCACATCCACAGGGTACACATGTGGAGATGGCATGTTGAACAATGCGAGTACTTGCTGCCATATGTCCCTAGAGGTGTAGACATATTATGGCCATCATTATCAGGGAACCAGGAAACATCCCTGATGAGGTCTGCCAGTCTGGAACCTGTCCTGGGGTAGGGCAGCCCTGGTGGTCTCAGCATCCAATAATGCTCCTATGAACGTTATTTTCTGTACTGGTACTAAGGTGGACTTTCTTTCATTCACCAAAAGGCCCAAGGCTCCACATGTGAACAGAGGAAGGGCAACACGATCCTGAACCTGAGACCTGGATGTGCTCTTGACCAGACACTCATCAAGGAATGGAGAAATTTAGACCCCCGGTGTCTGAGGTAAGCTTCAACCACTGACATACTCTTGGTTCTGGAGAGAGGCCAAATTGGGGAGAGGGAGGGGGAATCACAAACTGGTAGGGTTCCTAACCTACCATGTAGCAGAGAAAGCCATGCATGGCCCCTTGAAAATGGAGATATGAAAACACATGTCCTGAAAGTTGAGGGCGGCATACCAGGGAGGGAATGATGGAAGAAAGGGAAACCATGCAGAACTTCAGCTGTGCTAGGTACTGGTTGAGGTTTCGCAGGTCGAGGATGGGCCTGGGCCTCCCTTTTTCCTTGAGGGATCAGAAAGGACAGAGTAGAATCCCTTGTTTCTGAATTGCATTGGGATCTCCTCCACAACCCCTGAGCAAACGAGTTGGCACAATTCCTGCTCAAGAGATGCTTGTGAGAAGGGTCTCTGAAGAGGGATGGGAAGCAGGCGTGGAAAGCAATTGTAGGGTGTGGCCCTTAGAGATCATGTTGAGAAGACAGCAGCCTAAGGTAATGAACATCCATGATGAGAAGAAATAGGAGAGGTGGGTGGAGAAGATGAGGGAAGGGAAGGTTACTCACTTGTGTAGTAACTGGAGTTCTTCAAGATGGTTGTCCCCATGGGTGCTCCACCTTAGGTGCTGCAGCACCGCTGAGCCCACGGCCGGAGATTTGTGATAGCAGTACTCCTGGCCAGCCATGCATGCAGGGAGCCAGTGTGTGTGTTCTGAGGAGGCTACTTCGCATGCACAGCCCACTCCCCTGCCCCCCCCCACCAAATTCCTTCTCTGACCCAGATGTGTTGTATTCCAAAGCAGAGAGGAGGAGGGTGGGTTGTGGAGCACCTACGGGATAACTATCTCAAACTCCAGCTAATACACAGGTGAGTACCTTTCCCCTTTTCTTCTTCGAGGAGTCCCCCCGTGGGTTCTTCCCCTTCGGTGATTACAAAGCAGTATTTGTAGGAGGAGGTGGAAATTTCGAGTGCTGGGCCCGTGAGGCAGAGAGTATTATTTGGCCAAATGTTGTCTCTGACTCAGCAAATGGCTGTATTGCATAATGGTGGGTGAAGGTACGTGTTGACGCCCATGTGGTGGCTCTGCA